CCCGCGACCCACCCGCGACCTGCCCACATTGGTTTAACGAACAAATCGGCGCCTGCGGCGGGCTCGTTGTATAATTTGTGAATTGTAGGCGCCTGCGGCGGGCTTCTCCAGAGTCTCGCAGACTGCCAACGTCCCCACCGCCCCCTTACTCTTATCCGCATCTGCGGAGGGGGCCGAACGGTCATTCATTGTCTCTGGGTGCGTGGCTGAAGTGGGGATCCGTGGTGAGGATTCTGCTTGTTGCGTTGTTGTTGTTGGTGTTGTTGTTGTTGTTGTTGTTGTTGTTGTTGTTGTTGTTGTTGTTGTTGTTGTTGTTGAACATTATTCCTTCTAAAGAATTATTATTGTTGGGACCCCTGGTGCGCGACCTCTGCGCCGCGCCTAGGCCGCAGCTACATTTTCATCATTTTTTCGCGAAAGCTTCAGAAAAGTGGATGAGCTCCGGATCCGGTTTTTTGTTGACGCTCGTTTTCCCTTGCAAAAAACAATAGAAAATGAAAATTCTTGTTCTTACTTGATCAAATTGCAAGAATCCCTTGCAAAAAATAAGGTAAAGTGGACATTCGTGCGCGCAAGACGAAATCCTTCCAAAACCTTAGGTTTCGTAACGATTTTAACATAAAAACATCAAAAACCCAATGGTTTTTTAAGAAAAAATTGTCAAAATGTCCTTCCGCGCGCGCTGTCCGAATCCCACAAAACCAATGGTTTTTCAACATTTATGTTACATGAGCTCGCGCGAGCTACTTTTTCTTGTTCTAACATAATCAAATTTCAATAATCCCTTGCAAAAAATAAGGTAAAGTGGACATTCGCGCGCGCAAGACGAAATCCTTCCAGAACCTTAGGTTTCGTAGCGATTTCAACATAAAAACATCAAAAACCCAATGGTTTTTCAAAAAAAAATGTCCAAATTTCATCCCGCGCGCGCTGTCCGACTCCCACAAAACCAATGGTTTTTCAACATTTATGTTACATGAGCTCGCGCGAGCTACTTTTTCTTGTTCTAACATAATCAAATTTCAATACTCCCTTGCAAAAAAAAGTAAAGTGGACATTCGCGCGCGCAAGACCAACAAAAAACACGACGATCTCAGGAACTTGCCCCAAAAATGTGACCAACTCCGCTCTCTCTGTCTCTCTCTCTGTCTGCTCTCTGTCTCTCTCTCTGTCTGTCTGTGTCATGTATTGTATGTCACAATTGCAGGATGCTGGGCACACGCGCGCCCCGAATAAGTGACCAAGTTCTGTGGGTGTGTACCCCACGCCAGTGTAGTAGCCACGGTCGTCCGCACGCCACGAAGTGAAGTGTCCCAACGTCATAGGGCGGGAAGCTGGGTTTGGGTGGTCGCGAAGAGTCGTTTGGATATTTGGTAGAGCTTGAACTGCCCCCCCACGAAGTGGGGGTATTGTCTCGCGTCGCATGAAAACCCTGGCACTGGTGAGAACACTGAGCGTTCGGGTAAAATGATTGTTGTTGTTGTTGTTGTTGTTGTTGTTGTTGTTGTTGTTGTTGTTGTTGTTGTTTGTTGTCGTCGTCCCACCCGCGACCCACCCCGCGACCCACCCGCGCGACCCACCTCGCGACCCACCCCGCGACCCACCCCGCGACCCACCCCGCGACCCAACTCGTGACCCACCCGCGACCCACCCCGCGACTCACCCGCGACCTACCCGCGACCCACCCGCGACTCACCCGCGACTCACCCGCGACCCACCCCGCGACCCACCCGCGACCCACCCGCGACCCACCCCGCGACCCACCCGCGACCCACCCCGCGACCCAACCCGCGACCCACCCACCCGCGACCCACCCCGCGACCCACCCCGCGACCCACCCGCGACCCATTGGCGACCCATTTGCGACCCACCCGCGACCCACCCGCGACCTGCCCACATTGGTTTAACGAAAAAATCGGCGCCTGCGGCGGGCTCGTTGTCTAATTTATGAAACCTAGGCGCCTGCGGCGGGCTTCTCCAGAGTCTCGCAGACTGCCGACGTCCACACCGCCCCCTCACTCTCATCCGCATTTGCGGGGTGCTGCGTATTTGTTATTGGCCCAGGAGGCCTCGAGACCGCTCAAGAGGCCTCCAAGGCGGCCAAAGAGGTTCCCAGTACGGCCTAAGAGAGACCCAAGAGGGCCCGAAAACGGTCCAAGAGGACTCGGGATGGCCTCGTCGCGCCTCCAGAGGCCCCCAAGAGGACCCCCAAGAGGCCCAGAGGCCCAGAGGAGGCAACAAACAGATGGTTCCGTTAGGCTTTCCGCGGACTTGCGGGTGCCCACGTTTCGGGCCAGGACTCGCAAAAGACGGCCCCTGGGGCCTCCGAGATCGCCCCAAGACGTCCCAAGAGGCCTCCAAGAGGGCCTCAGAGACGGCCCCCGAGGGCCTCAAGGCGGCCCAGGGGGGCCCCGAGGCGGCCCCAGGAGGGCCCTGTGGAGCCCCCCGGAGGAGGCTCCCAGGAGAGCTCCGAGAGAACCGCAGGAGGCCCCCAAGCGGGCCCCAAGAGGTCCCCAGGGGCGCACCAAGCCGGCCCGGAGCCCCCCAAGACGGGCCCAAGAGGACCCCGTGAAGGCCCAAGAGGGCCCCCGACGGGCCAGGAGATTCTCAAGGGGCCCCCAAGGGGGCCCTCAAGATGCTTCAAAGAGCTTCTCGAGAGGCCCGCCCAGGAGCTATCGGTGACGCAACAAAAGGCTTGAACGCCAAGGCCCCCAGCATCGTCGAACGGTGACGTCGTCAAAAACTTTGAAAACCGAGACTCCCAAGAACGACTGGTGAGTGTAGAAGCTCTGAGCACCGAGCTCCCAAGAGCTCCCAGTGACGTGACAAGCTCTGATCACCAGGGCTCCCAAGAGCTCAGCGACGTGAAGAGCTCTGGACACCAAGGCTCCCAAGAACGAGCAGTGACGTGGAACACTTTGAACGCCAGAGCACCCAGTACGAACGATGACGTAAAGAGCCCTGAACGCCAAGGCTCCCAAGAGCGAACAGTGCTGTGAGCCCTCCTGGGCAAGAATCGGTCCAGTGACGGACACAGTTCTAACGCCCAGGTTCCCGCCCCCCCAGACGGCCCAATGACGGACACAGCTTTCATGCCAGGGCTCCCAAGAGCTGCTCCCGGTGACGGAGCACCTCTTTCAAGACGAGTCGGTGGCACCATGATCTGTTAACGCCAAGGCTCCCCAGAGCTCTCGATGGCGTGAAGAGCTCTGAGCGCCAAGGCTCACAAGAGCGAAGGGTCTCGCAAATAGCTCTGAGCACGGAGTCTTCAAAAGCGAACGGTGACGTGAAGAGCTCAAGGCTACCCAGAGCTGATCGTGACGCCCAAACCCTCCTAACGCCAAGGCTCCCACGAAGAACTCCCAGCGACGTACAAGTCTCTCAACGTCAAGGCTCCCAAGAGCGGACGGCGCCGTCATGAGCACTCTCGGGGAAGCTCCACGGAAGCGCTCTTTCCTTTCCTGTGCCGGCCCAGATTCCACTGCGCCCGAACGTGCACAAGGCACGGTGTCGGATTGATTTGATCCCGCCGGAGCGCACAGAGTACTTCGAGCACGAGCAGTTCGTCGAGTTCAGCTTGAACTTCAGCCAATGCGGTAACATCAGCCACGTGGAAGGGACGTGCAACCCGACGCACTGTGCCAGCGGCCTCACGTGCCAGAACGCGCCCGAGAAGTGCTGCGAGGAGGGCGACTGGACCTGCTGCGGCGCAGAGGACGCCGACGAGCCCTACTTCTTTAACTGGCCGAAGTTCGCCAATCGCCTCTACTGCCCAGTCGGTTCCCTGTGGCCGGTCATGTGCAATTGGGGCGTGTGCGCCCTCGACGACTACAACTGCGACCTGGAGTACGGGGGCGTCAAGATGAACGGGGACGTCTGCAGAATCCAGGCAGGGACGGAGCACAACGCTGTTTAGCTTGGTTCTGGCCCTTGCTTTGCTCTTCGCCTCGCTGTGCGCTGCTTTTTCGTTGTGCTTCGTTTCGTCTTCGCTCTCGTTTGGCACCAGCCGGTTTCGTTCGAGACGTCCGTTTTGAGCGTTCGGTCTCGCTTCGTTTGTTGTTCCAGACGCCAGCGCGTTTTGCACGTCGCTGTCCTCGGTCGCTGAGTTCAGGTCTTCTGGTGGCTCCTCCCGGACGAGAACCAGACCGGGAGCACGGCATGGACTTCTGGGGGCACGCGAGAGGGGGGCAGGCTCCTGGGGGGGGGGGGCGGCGTGCACGGGCCCCCCCCAGTCGCCCCCGGGGGCCTGATAGCCAGGCGATCGCAAACATGGATGAAGGGGGCGTGGATTAGCGACGGGCCCCGTTTCGACGGGAAATCGCGGATTCCCGCCGCCGAGCGAGGCGGCACCGGCCGCATTTGGGGGAGGGCACCTCCCCCGATCCATGGATCTGGCGACCGCGCGCCGAATCCATGGATCGCTAACCCATGTTTGCGCGCCCCCGAGGTAGCCCACCCTATCTAGGAGCGCGTGCCGCTACAGGGAGCCCTGTCGCCGATCCGTCGGCGACGCGTCGCCGATTTTCCAGACCGCTGTTTCTCCACCCGTGAGAGCCGGTCCCTGGTGCTTGGCGGACCACATCGCGGGCCTCCAGCGGCCGTTCGGGATGATCCGGGCCCCCCCCGGAGCGCTCTCGACGAGGCGCAGGCGCGGGAGAGAACCCCGAGGCCGGAAAACCGCCAGGGACCGACGAGAAAGTCTGAGAGCCTCAAATCTCGAGCCCCCCTCTCCCTTTCCCCTCCTTCCCGGAGTAATTATGGTGGGGGCGTTCGTGAAGGACTGTTCCCAGGAGGCTGCGAAGCCTATGATTCCTTCTCTCATGAGGGCGGCGGTGACATCCATGGACAAGCCTCAATTGGTGTTCCCCTGGCTTCCAGACCCTGGATTCCTTGCCCAATGGTCCCTTGTCCAGTGCGCTCATCGCAAGTCCCCCTTCACGTCGCCCCTCAGGACTGAGTCCGCCGAGGCGGAGGCGAACTCGTCGCACCCGCACGTGCGGATGCCCATCGCCGAGCTGCCTCGGCCGGGCGTCTACGAGGTCAAGGCCCTGGTGCCGAACGGCGGGGAGGGCCTGGTCTTGGAGGTCGGGACAACGGTTCTCGAGAGAGGAAGCTCGCTGACCATGACCAGGCTGTCGCCCCAGACATGCTTGCGACTCGCTGGCGTCGCGGATCGGGTCGGGCGAAAGGGGGGGATTGGGAAAGGGGGGGTTACGAAATTTGCTGCATGCAGCTGGTTTCGGCCCCGCCGAGGGGCCCATTCCTCGATACATAGCCGCCTCCGGCGCCGGGAGGCGCCGGGAAAATCAGCTACGCGAGCTGATTCTCAAACCCCCCCTTTGCTATCCCCCCCTTTCGCCCGACCCGAGTGGAACACCAACAACGGGAGGTTTTGGGTCGTTTTCGGCCCCTGGGGGCCCTCGCCAGGCCCAAGGACCGTCCAACGACGACTCTCGATGAACACTGGCCCTGGGGAAAGGGGCGGGCACTTCCGGCGACCCCGAACAAGACCAAGATGCAGCACGCCTGGAGCGGGATCTCGTCGACGCCGTTCCTCGTCGTGGTCCGTGCCGGCCGTCGCCGCTTCGCGGAGACCTGCCCCCGAATCGACGGCGACCAGGGCCGGCGGTGGCCAGCATCAGCACGAGCGCGTCCGCTCTCAGCCTCGGCCGCGGCCAGCGTCTGCTCTCCCTGCTTCCCTCCAGGTTCGCATCCTGGAGAGCCCGCTCCCCGTGGCCGCGCTGAGCGCCGCCCCGGGCGCCTCGGTCGGGTGCCCCGTCGTGCTGAACGCCTCGGGCTCCCTCGACCCCATCGAGGACGAGATCCGGTGGGCCGCGGACCCCAACCCAGCGCCTGCCGATCACGCGATCGGCGACAGCAGGGGGCCGGTGATCGGCGGAGCACGCGATCGCTGCCCACGCGCTCGGTTCGGCTTGCTCGCACGATCGCCTGAGCTTGAATGCGTGGTCGATCCGCGGTCGGCGCCGGTAGCCATTGTGGTCAGGGCTGCGATTGGATCATGTGATCGGGTGGCGAGATCGGCCGGGTGATCAGCCAGACACTAAGGAGCCTAACCTGACGTATAAATGGGCCTGCGAGCACGTGGGCGGCGGGGCCGATCTTCTCGCGCAGCAGGAGTGCGACAAGCTGGGCAGGGTGGCGGGCAACCCGGCCGTCGTGGCCATCGACTTCCAGATGTCGGGCAGCTGGCTGTTCACGCTCACCGTCACGCGGGAGTTCGACAAGAAGTTCAGCGTCCTCACGCACCTCGTCGCCGTGGTGGACGGGGTCGCGGCCACCATGGCGCAGCCACCCGCAGAGGTTTCGGCCCAGCTGGACCTCACCATTGAGCCCTACGTCGAGGAGAACCCGGCGTGCAATGCCCCCGCGGTGTACCGGAGCTTGTGGATGCTCCAGGAGGCCGACGGCGACATTAGTGCCTGGTTCCTGACAGGCCCGACGACGAGCAAAGCGCTCCTCATCGCTGCACCGTGGGCGGAGGCGCCTCCCGGCGTCTACCGGCTGCGCCTGGTGCTGACGCGCAACGAGTCGAGCGGGAACGCGTGGCAGTACCCGGCCGACTGGGACCCGGAGGACACCGCTGGGCCGTGGATCTTCGACTCGGGCACTTTTCTGATCGACGAGCCTCCGACGAACGGCAGCAGCGGGATCCACCCGCTCTCGGGTAACATGACCACGACGAAGTTCACGATCACGTCTTCCTATTGGGTCGACGACGATCTGCCGCTGGCGTACAGGTTTTCCTGGCACGCTGGCTCCAGCGATGCCGCCAGCCCAGTGTGGAGGGACCTGAGCTCGGGCCAGTGGAGCTCCTCGCCCGTCTTCGGCGACATGGTCTTCGCCTCCGTCGGCCCCGTGACGGTGAGGTCGGCTGCCAAGGACTCGCAGAAGGCACCCCGTGCACCGCCACCGTGCCTGACCATGACCATCCCAGGCCCTGGGATTGTGCATATACCCTCCTGACCTCGGCCAGGGGGGCGGACACGACATGCCAGGACATAGGATGGCCCTGGCCAGGCACGGTGGTGGTGTCGACGTGCCTTTGCGTAAAGGACACGCTGGGGTCTGTCTCGGTTGCCTTCGATGCCGAGGCCGAGGTCGTCTACCCGCCAGTCCCTGCAGAGGATGACGTGCTTCTGGAGGTCCTGAGTGATGTAGCATCTGGCGGCAACTATTCGAAGGGCTTCGCCCAATGCCGCTGTCGCCCCCTCTTGATTGCCTGCGCAGCTGGGCTGGCTGAACTGGCTGGCTGATTGGCTGATCGGTTGGAGGTTAGCAGCTCGGCTGATGGGCTGGTCGGTTGTCCGGCTTGCTGGCAGGCTGGTTGGCTGGCTGCTTGGCAGGCTGACTGGCTGCTTGAATGGCTGACTGGTTGGTTGGTAGATTCGGAGCGCGGAGCACTTGCCGTTCTTGTACGAGGCATCGTGGTCTGGTGAGTGCGATTCGGTATTTTCTTTGAGGAGGCTTCTGAGGACGTCGCTCGGTCAGGGGCACGGGCCCCTCCTGGGCCGAGGGAGGTCGCGCGCTCAGATACCCAGAAGCCCACCTGCCGAGAAACCTGGCTGTCCTGTGCTTCCAAGAACTGGCGGCCGAGCTCAGGGGAGGTGTCGATTGCCAAAGCGAGGACACTCCCAGGGTGTTGTTGCGGTGATACAGATTGCCCCGCTGCGCTGACGGGAACAGGGGTGCCCAGGAGGAGGGGGGGGGAGGAGGAGGAGGAGGAGGAGGAGGAGGAGGAGGGAGAGGAGGAGGAGGAGGAGGAGGAGGAGGAGGAGGAGAGGGAGGAGGAGGAGGAGGAGGAGGAGGAGGAGGAAGAGGAGGAGGTGGGGGAGGAGGAGGAGGAGGAGATGGAGGGTGCCCAGCTGCCGAAGCTGGGTCTTCGCGGCCCGATGCCCTGCAAGGGGGGTCCAGCGGATTTCTCGACCCTGGCAGCAGTGGACGCAGTGGCCGACACGAGCTCCGACAGGGCAGAGACGGATGCCACCACCCACCAAACCACCCCAACCCAACCCGAAGGCTTCTGAGGACGTCGCTCGGCCAGGGGCACGGGCCCCTCCCGGGCCGAGGGAGGTCGCGCGCTCAGATACCCAGAAGCCCACCTGCCGAGAAACCTGGCTGCCCTGTGCTTCTAAGAACTGGCGGCCGAGCTCAGGGGGGGTGTCGATTGCCAAAGCGAGGACACTCCCAGGGTGTTGTTACTCACCACCCGCCAAACCACCCCAACCCAACCCGAAGGCTCAGATTTACCCTCGATTTCCAGTTGGGGGGGGGGTCGGGGAACATCGAGAAAACACGTGTGGAGCCCATGCCCCCCCCAACCCGAAATTCGGGTCTTCGGGTTGGGTTGGGGTGGTCTGGTAGGTAGTCAGGATGCATCGTACGACTCGACCCAGATCGCGAGCGATCTTCTGGGCGTGGTGGACAGTAGCATGCCCTCAGACATGTCTGCGGAGGAGATCTCGGGCACGATATCCGTCATCGGCAGCGTTTTGACTACCGCTATGAGGGGTCAGGCATTGGCGCTGGACCCGAGTTTTTCCTTGCAAGCCAGTGGTCTAATCACCACGGTTGCCCAAACAGCTGCGTCGACTGGGGACGGTATCTCCGTCGACGATGCGGCATCGTTGGTGGGCTCCGTGGCTAACCTTCTCCCGAACAAAACTTCGGATCTCACTGCGGAGTCCTCGGACGCGGAAACGGATGCGGCAATTATGGAGGCTCTTGAAGGCGCCGTCAACGCCATCGGCGACGCCGTGACCGCAAGCATGCAGGTGGGTGACGAGCCTGTCACGGTCAGCGTGGGTGGCATATCACTGACGGCTGCGAAAGCAACGGTCGAAAACATGGCAGACGGGCTTACCGTAGGCGGATTCGATTTCCCGAGCGGCTTCGACTTATCCGAAGAGGCCCGCAGGCTTTCTGCGAGTTGCAGCTCGAGCGAGTTTTCCCTCCAGCACACTGCGTGGCCCAGTAATAATCCATTTTCTTGGGCCGGTGATTACGTCTACGGCAACCTGTCCACGGCAGACGAGGATGCGGTGTCGACCACTGCCAGCCAGGAGGAGGCGGAGGGCGAGTACGACCGCGCGTGGGCGGTCGACCAGGCGGGTGTGCAATCGATGAACATTCGCGCGTGTGGCGCGACGCAGAAGGTCGAGGGCCTGCAGAAGCCCATACGGTTCTTCCTCCACGCGCCGCTCGAGTTCAACGCCACGGGGGCGCGGCGCGCGGTGCGGAGGTGCGTGTATCGAAGGCGCCTGCGGCCAGGGTCGCCGCGCCCCGAGGAGGACGAAGAGGAGGAGGAGGGAGGAGGAGGAGGAGGAGGAGGAGGAGGAGGAGGAGGAGGAGGAGGAGGAGGAGGAGGTGGAGGAGGAGGAGGAGGAGGAGGAGGAGGAGGAGGAGAGGAGGAGGAGGTGGAGGAGGAGGAGGAGGAGGAGGAGGAGGAGGAGGAGGAGGAGGAGGAGGGGAGGAGGAGGAGGAGGAGAAGAGGTAGGGCGCGCCGCGGCCGGGCCCCGAGCCAGAGGTCGGCGGAGCCACGGGGGCGGGACGTCGGCCCGGCCGCTGCGGAACCGACCGGGGGAGCACCGCGTGTGCAGTTCTCTCGGGGGCCACGTGCGAACCCCACCCCCGCCCCCGAGCGAGGTGAATTCCCCCCCCCCCCCTCAGAACCCTCGGAAGTCGGGGGGGGAGGAGGAGGAGGGAGAGGAGGAGGAGGAGGAGGAGGAGGAGGAGGAGGAGGAGGAGGAGGAGGAGGAGGAGGAGGGAGGAGGAGGAGGAGGAGGAGGAGGAGGAGGAGGAGGAGGAGGAGGAGGAGGCGGGGGAGGAGGAGGAGGAAGAAGAGGTAGGGTTCGCAGTTGGCCCCCTGGTTCTTGTCGTCTCTGTACCTCCCGTGCCCTCTGGCGGAGCCCCCCCGGGGCCCCTGGGGGTGGGTCTCTCTCGGGGGCGCCTTCGGGAGCCATCGAGGCCTCCTGGGCTCGAAGCCATCGATGCCTTTTGGGAGGCCTCCCTGGGGATCTCCTCGGATCCCGGGGGTGTCCTGGGTCCACTGATCATGGAGCCGACATCGCGGAGCGGATTTCGTTCGGAAGACGGTAGGGTGGGCCCGGGGTGTCTTGGAGAATTTCGTTCCGGATTTCGAGGTTAATTTCGCGCGGATGTTTTCTTGGGCCAGGAATGACGACGAAACAAAAATCCACACGAAATTCACTTCGTTTTTCGCTCGCCGTTTCGGGCAAAAATCCACGCAGATATCCACGCAGAAATTCACGCAGAAATCCGCTGCAGCACGTCTGCAAGGCCTGTGCAATGACACTGAGGGGTCCTCTTGGGCCATCTGGAGTGCCTCTTGGGACGTCCTGGGGATATTTGGCCATGCTGCAAGGGATCTGGCGACATCTTGGGCCACCTCAGAGGCCCGCGTGCCTCCTCGGCCTTGCGGCGCCGATGGTCCATGCCCCCCGCGAGGCTCACTGGAGCATGCGGCCAATGCCCGCCCCTGGGCCTCGGCATCGCTCGGACGTGCGCATCATTCCTCGGTTGGGACCATCGAGGAGCCTCTTGGGTCAACCTGCGAGAGAATACGCGCAAGAAGCCGAACACTGCACAGGGAACCCAGACCCCCGACGTCGTGATTTTTTCACAGCGTCGACCCCCAAAAGTCTGGACCCCTTCTCCGGAATCGGTTTTTCATCCTGAGTCGTTTTTTGACGGTCCCGAGGCCCGGCGAGGGCCTCCGGAGGCCGCAAATCGCGAACTCCTCCCCGTCGCGCTTTTTGCACGGCGCGAGGGAGTCTTGGAGTGTGGATGTCCGAGCGGTGGCCCGTGCCCCCGGCGGGGCTCCCCGGCGAGTGCGGCGGGTGCCCGCCCCCCGGGCCTCGGCGCCGCTCGGACGTGCGCCTCTGCTCGCGCGGCCCACGGGGCTCTCCCGGGGAGCGGGGCTGCAGCTTGCGCGGCCCGGTCGCCCCAAAAAATCGGCTAGACGTAAGAGTGACCTTTCGCCAGAGTGACCTTTGGTGCGGGCACAGATGGGTCCCCAGATGGCTGAAAACGAAGCAGTAGGAGCTGCTTGCGCGCCCAGGTTTGGCCCCCCCGCGGCCCCCCAATTGTCGCGCACCAAAGGTCACTCTTACCCAGGGTCACTCTTGCGTATAGCCGAAAACAGTTGCGGTCAAGTACAGTCGGGGCGTTGACCGAAGGAACCCTAAGTAAGTAACGAGGCTCCTTTTTCCCATAAGTTCAACTTCGATTTTCCAACGAAAACCTGAGGAAGACATAAGGCAAGCTGTGGAACAATTTAGGAACACGGAGCCCCTCCCCAACGAAAAGGGTTCCATCTTCAGCGCCCCGACCGTATGGCCTGTCCCTCTACAGGGGGAATGTTCAAGAGCAGTCAAAACATAGTCAGGGGGCGATTTTTTGAGTATTTTTTCGCTGTTGTAGTGGCCTCCGACCAGTGTTGCCGATCCGGGGCGCTTCCGTTGTTGCCGGAAGCGCACGATGGCGGTCATGACCAGCGACGACGGCGAACGGTGAGGATACTGATGAGGATTGGGAATGGAGGCGACGGAGTAGGATGTGAGGAGGAGGAGGAGGAGGATCATGATGAAATGGAGGGCGGTGGTGGTGGGGGACAGGAGTAGCAGGATGTTAGGGATGAGGGGGAGCAGGAGGAAGCGGGAAGCGGAAGAGGGGGGGGGAGAAGGAGGAGCATGACGAGGATGAGGAGATTTACGGCGGCTGTTGAAGATGTTCGGCGGTTGTTGGAAATCCTCTTTCGGGCTAGGTGTTGGCCCTCTCTGGATTGACACCTCGCCGATTTGGCGCGCTCTCTGAAAAGCTTTGTGCTAGAGCTGTTTGCGTCACGGTTCTGTGTGGAGCCTTGTGCATCACCGGTCTCTGCTGGGAACCATGGTCTTTTTGGGGTCTCTGGGGCCTTCGCGCGGTCCTCTGCGGGCCCTTGTGAGATCATGGGTGTGAAGAACACCGAAGACGGGAGATCATAAGAAAGCGTGGGGTAACCTTTTGTAATGCGGCGCTTGTGTTCAGACGTAAGCGTTGTGGAAGCATCGGGGCCGGTTGTGGGCTTCTCGGGGGGAGTCTTGGAGGCAGCTTGGAGGCCTTTCCAAGGCGTCTTGGATGCATTTTTGCACAGCCTTGGGGGCCTTCACGGGGCTTCAGGGGGCCTCTTCGGGGCCAGTTGGAAGCGTCTTGGGGCCTTTTCAGGGTTCGTGCGGGCTCTGAGGGCTTGCTGGGAGTTTCTTGGTCCGTCTTCGGCAGTTCTTCCGCCGTCTCGGCGCCTTCTCAGGCGCCTCTTGTGCCCTGTCCTGGGGCCCTCTTGGGCCTTTCCAGGGGCCTACTGGGCCATCTTGGGCCCCTCTTGGGCTCCTCTTGGGCTGTCTAGAGCCCTCTCGGCGGGTTCTTGGGCCGTTTCGGGTCTCTCTTGGGGCCCTGCGACGCCCTAGAGGCCCAAAAAGTGAATGTTACAATTGTACGTTTTACCAAGGGAATGGAATGTTTTTTGTTTCTTTGGGCCTTCTTTGGGAGGCCTGTTCAGCGCTTCTGAAGGCATTTTGGAGGCTTTGGAGCCGTATTGGGGACACCTTGGGCGTCTTGTAGCGATCGTTCGGCGACTCGGGGCCCTCTTGGCCCATGTTGGGGCCGTTCCTGGGCGAGGGGGCCGTCCCGGAGTGAGCTGGAGCTCCGATTCCGCTCCGGGAATGAAATCGACTCCCCCCCCCTCCCCCTGCCCTGGCAGAGCCATCCCGGCACCCATCCCCCAGTTGAGCTGATACTCATGAATTGAGGCTCGGGCTGTTCTGAGGGTCTTTGAAACTCACACGCCGGATCGGCGGATCTTTTGAGGACATGCGACGTCCTGATTTTTTCAGGACGGCGTCCCTGGAAGTCCCGACCCTTGCCCCATGGCCGGTTTTTCGTCCTGAGCCTTTTTTTTTTGACGGTCCCGAGGCCCGGCGAGGGCCCGCCCGGGCCGCAAATAGCCACGAAACCCTCTCGTCCTGACGGCCGATGCTCGTCCACGGGCCCCATCGTCGCTTGCCCGCCCGGGGCCGCGCTGCCCTCCTGCCACGGGCGCGGCGACCAGCCCGTCCGGGCGGGAGGCCCCGCTGCCGGCCCCCCGCCGTCCCTGGGGGCGCCGCCGGCGGTGGCCTGCGGCGGGTGTCCTGGAGCACCGTGCCACCTCCCCAGATCGGCGGCGGCGAGGTGATTTTCCCAATCCCAGCGGACGACGAGGACGAGGACGAGGGCGACGTCGAGGACGAGGACAAGCACGAACACGAGGACGAAGACGAGGACGAGGGCGAGGACGAGGACGGGGACGACGACGACGAGGAAGAGGACGCCGACGAGGACTCCGACGCCGCCGCCGCCGACGACGACGACTCGGACTCAGACTCAGGCTCAAACGGAAAAGCCTCTCACACATGCCCACAGGGCCTTTTTGGTTTTTGTTTGTAGTTGTTTTTTGTTGTTCTGTTTTTGTTTGTTTGTTTGTTTGTTTGTTAGTTAGTTAGTTTGTTGGTTTTATTTCTTCATGTTCTTCTCTCACAATCTGGGCCTCTGGGGCCTATGTTACCGGTCTTTGGGGCCATTCGATTTAGGTCGAACACATACCCTGGTGAAGCGGTCGGGACTTCTGCGGCCGCGGAATGAAACGAACCCGGTGGCCCCAATTTGTGTTTTGAGTACGTGGAGAAACCACATTGTGATGATGTGATGGCTTGATGACGTGATGATTGCAGTTGTTGTGACTCGCGCGAGGGCAGTTCTGCATTTTTTCAAAGAGCTTGCAAGCGAACAGGGAGCCGAGACCAAGGTCACTTGACACAAAGACCAAGGAACCAAGGAACCAAGGAACTGCGATCAGGCAACCAACGCCGAGGAATCAAGAAACCAAGACCAAGGAACCGAGGAACCAAGACGAGGGAACCGAGGAACCAAGAAACCAGGACCAAGGAAGCAAGGAAGCAGTCCAGGGAACGGAGAAACCAAAACCAAGAAATCAAGGTGCCAAGACCAATAATCCAAGGAACCGAACTAAGCAACCAAGCAACCAAGGGACCAAGGAACCAAGACTGACGAACCAAGAAACCAGGACAAGGAAACAGACCAAGAAATCAAGAAACCAGGACCAAAGAACCGAAGAACCAGGGAACCGAGGAACCATGGAACAGAGGAACCAAGGACCTTGGGGAATCCGGGCAAGGCGTTCCCATGGAACA